GGGAACCCCAAAACCCCAAAACCCCTAGATTAAAATATTCAGTAAGAATGAAAAATATTTGAAATCAAATTTATTATTTACTCTTATATATATTAGGCCTCCAATTCCTGAAATATTATATCTAAATAAATTAATGATATTGTCTCTAACAAGCTCAAAAAGATACAACTTTAGAATTTAAGAAATCTAAAATATATTTTGGGTGCTAGTCTTAATACAAAGTCTTTTCTGCTTCAATTCGAATGGAAACAATGAATAAAATAAAGGTTCATTTATTTCAATTGTCATATACGGAGAAGGAAGTTAGCAAGAGTACGAAACTTCAATTAAGAGTGTACTCGATCAGCCTTTTAAAGATTATGATATTATCGTTGCAGTGAAAAATAACGAGGAATTGAATGCTCATAGAAAATTCTTATTTAAACATTACGAAACGTTTTTCCTCACCTAGATTAAATTCCAAATATCTCAAGATTTAAACGATTTTGCTTAAATAATATAGCATTCTATGAAAAAAATGAAGGGAAAGTTCATTACTTTATCTCATGTAAAAACTAAAAATTTCCCAGAGAGATTCAATGAAATATCTAATACCTTGAATAGTCAATAAATATCAGCACTGGTTAGTGATATTTAGATAAAAAATAACAATGATGAGTATCTGTCAAATAAACAAACAATTTTGAGAGACTATGCTCGAAGTCTCAATAATATATTTTTCTCAGTTCAACCATAGATAGAATTCACGTTGACAGTAAGGAAAAATTTTCTTGAAGAAATTTTCAGAAATTTAAAAATTGTCAACAGATTTGAGATTTTAATGAGAATTAGTCAAACTGGAAATATTTTCCAAATGCCATAGGCATTAATGAGTATGACATTTGATTATTATAAGAAAAAGTATACGAATGATTTTGTCATAGATCCTCAAACTGATAATGATATGTATTAACAATACAATGGTTACCTATAAAATAAAAATGTCAAGAACTTAACAACTCTCTAATTCTCTCATTTTCTTAATTGCACATTTGACTATCTAGCATGTGATAAAGAAACTAAACAAATTGTTCAATACCTCTTGATAGATTCGTATCTAATGATGAAAGACTAAGCTCCGGATTCGCTGAAATCTTTGAGAGAATTAATACTTTAGTTAAATCAGAATATTAGAAATTAGGAGAAGGCTGCTAAGAATCCAACTTATTATCCATTAGTATCTGTCGTTATGGCGAGTCATGATAGAGACTACTTCTTCTTGGAAGCAGTTAGGAGTGTATTTTAGCTGTCATATACTAATTGGGAATTGCTTGTAGTTGATGATGGTTCTTCAAATCCATTAACTTACAGTATTCTATATCTATTAGAAGGGCTTCCGAAATTAAGAGTCTCATATTTGTATACAAATTGGTATTGTAGTTTTACAAATAACTTTGCAATTGCCTAGCTCAAAGGAGAATTTTTTGCTCTGCTTGATGATGATGACATTATGGTTTTTGATAGAATGGAAAAGTAATTAAGTTATATGTGGAATCATCCAGAGGTAGACTTCATTGGAGCTTAAGCTTTGTATGCTGATTAAACTGGAAAGATTACTTGGGGCTCTAATAGAGAATTTATGAATTTTTGGGATATTAAATTATCTTTGGTCACATATGATCATTTTACTCATAGCACTCTATTTGTTAGGATGAATGATAAAATGAAAAAGCATTTCTATTATGAAAATCACAGTGGACCAGACTACAAGTAATGGTTTAAATTACTAATCGATCTAGAGCATGAAAATATACGAATTGGTATGTTCCCAGGTCATGTCCTTGCCTTAAGAGAGCATCCTACTAGAATGTCTTACACTGAATATACAGCATTTATACACATCGTTAAGTGGATCTAAAGAAAATAGTTAGATTCTTTTGAAACTTTTAGTCCCTCATTACTTGAATAAATGGACCATAAATGCATAAATGATGCGTTACATGACATATCTGGAAAAGCTTGGAATATTAGAGCTTGTGAAGCCTTTAATATGGAGAAAGTTTCAACATAAATACTTGCTTATTAGCAGACTAAAAATATTTATTCAACTAATGACATTAAAGAATTAAATGAAACTCTTCAGAGTTATACTCAATATTATAACTAAGCCGTATAAAACAACAGAATAAATATGTAGCCTGGAGATAATAGGAAGATTTTCGTTTGTTTATTCTCAGTTGGAGATTCTGAATTAGCTGAAAAACAAATAGAATCATTAAAAGAACATGCAGATGGATTGATTATAGTAGATATTAGCACCTAGCTTAATTATGATCTATTAAAATCTAAAAAAAGGGAGCCATCTAATATCAGTTAGAAGTATAATAACCCTCATAAAATTTTAGTGGAAACACTGGAATATGACTTTTCTAAATTAATAATGCAAAAATTCCAGTAGCAATTAGATAATTTAAGGACTGCTGATGCTGACTATGTTTTAATTCTGGGGCCTGGAGAATTCGTTAATCCTCTAGAGCTTAGAAAGTTTAGAAATTATAGAACAGATCTTGGAATTTTCGGTTTGAAATAAAAAACTAATTCTCAATTGATTACTAGCCCTAAAATTACTACTTATTACTTATTGAAATTTATGGGATATGAGTTTCTGAGAAAGTATGATATCGATCCTGATATTTTCAAATTTGCTGGTGAACATGAGTTTGAAGACAAAGTTTATACAATTCAATACGATTTTGGATTCTTAAATGTTCATACATTTAAAAACGGAGGATATTATCTTGATAAGTTGGAATGAATAATAATAGTGATCAGTATAATGATCCTGTATTGTTGCTCTTGATAGATATTTTGCAAGAATCATTAAAGCTTTTTAATTGAATTTAATTTCCATAAATACCTAAAAAATCGATATGATGGGGTTTTGGGGTTTTGGGG